TGCCAGCTGCGAAAATCCCTCTACGTTATCAAACAGGCGCCCAGGCTCTGGCAGCAGTACCTGCACAACATTCTGCTCGAGATAGGCTTCAAGCTACTGCCTCACGATCCCGGAATGTACCGCCAAGATTTCCGCGGCGACTACATTCTACTCACGGTCTACGTCGAAGCAACGAGCTACTTGAACAATTCGAAAAGAACTTAGCGAGGCGCGTCGACATCACCTGCAACCATGACGTGAAGCAGTTTCTCGGCCTCAACATCTCTTACGCGCCATAAGCCATTCACCTCTCAGCAGCCAAGTATACAGAAGAACTTGGCAAATGCTTGAACATCGCGCCTGCACCACTCTCCACTCCTTACCGCACTCCCAGACCGAACAACAAACCTGACAACGAAGCCCTGTCCCCTGCTGGTATTCAGACTTACCAGCAGCAGTTGGGTTGCCTGCTCTTTGCCTCAGTAACATGCAGACCAGATCTCTCATACATCGCGAGCCAGCTGGCTCAGTACTCCCGCAAGCCGACGGCTGAGAATCTTCTAGATCTTTAGCGCGCTTTGCAGTTCTTCATCTCCACGCCCAACATTGGGCTTTGCTACTCAACAGTAGCAACCCCATCCTTCAGTCTCATCGGCTACGTGGACGCCGATCATGCCGCTGACCCCGATAATCGACGGTCCAGAACTGGGTTCCTGTTCCGCCTCGAGGCAACATGACCAATCTCGTGGAACTCGCAGAAGCAGGAACTGGTTGCCCTGTCATCGGCGGAAGTTGAATTCATCGCCGCAACAGCAGCAGCTCGCGAAGGGCTTTACATGCAGGAACTTCTACAAGAAGCGAAAATCCCAGCATCGCCAACCTTTCGCCTGCACTGCAACAACCAAAGCGCGATTTGAATTGCGAACAAACCAGGATTCATCAACCGCACCAAACATATTGCGCTACGGTACTTCTTCGTCAAGGACGAAGTGGACAAGGGCAAGGTCGACTTAACCTATTGTCCAACGGGTGACATGGCAGCCGACTTACTCACCAAACGACTGCCCCGTCAGCAATACCAGCACTTCTCCGAACTTAGCAAAGCAGTCAAGCGAGTCAAGACTTGCTACGGCGAGGAATGAAGGGGGGTGTTACGAATAGTAAAATGAGAAGTGTTACTGTGTATTTCTGCCAGTTGCAAGGACGAAGAACACAGAAGAGAGTACGAAGGCGGAGAGTCGAAGCGACACGAACAGTTGGGAAGCATCTGGACCGTCGGAGCAGACAACATCGGGCAGCTGCATGAACAAGGAATTTGACGGGAACCGTTTCGTAACTGTACGCGCCGCAGCACTGTTGGGCTTGAATTTGAAGAACGGAATGTACCCCTTAGAGTACATGGCTAGACTAGGACCTTTCGTATTCCCCTGCACTCTTATATAAACCGTTGTATTTGCATGTTTTTTATTATATCTGTCATTTTAAATTCACCATGTTCTGAGGTGACTAACTTCCGCTGCAACACTCTGATTCTGCAAACCTTCCTGGGGTGATCCTAGGCACGATCTACTTTCTGATCGCAACATCTCGTACTATTAAAACAAAAAATAAAGTCACGTGGACTTGTGTTATTACTGTTAGGTATCATTAGTATTTTATGCTATATTCAATTTTGTCACTAATTTGTTCTCATATTATGAAAGTCCAAAATTATTGAATACACGGCCGGCACTTTGTACACCAAACGCGTTTCCTCTTGCCAAGTCGTGCATTGGTCTTAGGGCGTGTGACATTGTACTGACCAACCGAAAAAAACGACCATTGAGCAGTTCTGACGATTGCGAATTATTTAGGGTTACAACCACTGATTAGCATTACTTGGTAGTCACTCTGACTACAGAAAATATTTCGGTGTGATTTTCATTAAATTTTGGATCACTGACTTTCGCGACTTGTGCTACTCCTATCTAGGGTAGGGGATTATTGTTTGACATCCAGTTATTTCCCCCGAATTTGTTTCGGAAAGCACTATGAACTTGCTAAACACTATTGACTTTCCGTGCCCCGTATATTTCGTGCCCCCTATATTTCGTACCCCGCTCGAATGCTGAAACTTGGATTATAATTACGGGGGTTGTTCAGGGTGGGTGCCGCTCGCGAACAGAATGGTCGTTCTGTTCGAAATGTGTGGCGGGGTTCGTTCAAGCGTTACACATTTCGCATTCGCATGACCCAACCATCTGGTCGGATTTTAGGCTTGGTCGATAAAATGTTACACGCCCTTACAAAATTTGAGAAACCCTAGACATTCCCCCTGGGCATTGTACAGACACCAATCTGTCCTTGGAATCCTCGTAGTAAACTACTAAGTGTGTCTGTGAGAGGTACTTGCGACAGTCGTACAACATACCCTAAACACTGTTTCGCGCCCATTTTTTTTGTAATGTGGGCGTGTCACCCGCGTTTAGCAGCTCACGCTTCGCAGACGAATCACGCGACTCAGATTACGCAGACGAATCACGCGACTCAGACGGCTAACGCGTCTCAGTCGATTCACGCGACTCAGACGATTTACGCGACTCAGACGATTCACGCGACTCAGACGATTCACGCGACGCAGGCGATTAACGCGACTCAGACGAATCACGCGACTCAAACGACCCAGGGAGGCGTCACAGTCACGTCTGTCAGCAGTCGATTAGATCCCTGCGGGCCCTCGCTCGTGGCGAATGCGATTCCTTCGGGCGCGAGTCAGGGGTCAGGGAGGGCAACGGAGGGGCCGTTGCTGGATGAGAAAACCGTTCCTTTTCTTCTCTCCGGCCCTCAGCCGCCCTCCTCTCTGCTACTCCCGCCATCCCTTATGTTGCGGCAGAAGCAAGCGCTTCAACCGCTGCCCGCCGCACAGAGCGAGCATCCACTGGTGCCCCGTACAGCGGCGCTTCCTCGTCCGTCGGCCGTCGTTCCCGCTCCATCCCAGCCCCGCGTGCAGGGCAGCGCAGTCAGCGGCTGCGAGCCCACATCGCACGGCGGAGCGCACGCAGCGGCTCTGCCCTCTGCACCACCGCATTGGCTCCCCGCTGATCGACAGCTGCTTCAGGCGCTTCAGCAGCAGCAGCTGAAGCGGCTACAGCAGGCACATCAGCCACAGCAAGTAAAACAACAGCAGGTGGCGCAGCAGCAGCAGCAGCAGCAGCAGCAAACGGAGCAGGAACAGGGACAGGAGCAGCAGCAGCAACAACAACAACACCAACAGCAGCAGCAGGGGCAGGGTCAGGATCAGCAGCAGCAGGGGAAGGATCAGCAACAGGAGCATCAGAAGCAACAGGAACAGAAGCAGGGGCAGGAGCAGCAGCAACAACAACATCAACAACAGCAGGAGCACGGGCTGGGGCAAGGGCAGCAGCAGCATCAGGAGAAGGAGGAGGAGGAGGAGGAGCAGGATCAACAACAGCAACAGCAACAGCAACAGCAACAGCAACAGCAACAGCAACAGCAACAGCAACAGCAACAGCGGCAGCAGCAGCAGCAGCAGCAGCAGCAACAGGGTCAAGGGTTGGGCAGAGGCAAGGGGCGAGGGAAGGGTAAGGGCAAGGGCAAGCGCGGGTGGCGGTCGCCACTGGTCGTTGGGGCGAACGGCGCCCCCGCGCCAGACAAGGCAGGCCCGTCCGCGGGCAAGAAGCGCCGCCACGCTGTGGACGAGCCGCCAGGGCTGTGGCTGGGTGACGAGTGCGACGCTGCCTCGTGTGCGTCGGACCGGTCGGGCAGTCCGTGTGGCGTGTGCGCGGCGAGCGTGCTGGTGGTGCAGGGCGACCGCGGGTGCCGCGAGGGCGGGGCGGCCGTGGAGGCGAGGGTGGTGGGCGACGAGGAGGGCGAGGCGAGCGCGCACGTGCTCGCCGTGCTGCTGCACGGCCACGCGCGCTTCTCGTACCGCCCGGAGCAGGCGGGGGCGACGGGCAGCAGCAACCGGGTGACGGGCGCCATCATGTGGCGGCCCCCTGACGCCGACGCGGGCAGCAGCGCTGCCTCGTGGGCGCTGGAGTTTGCGGAGAGGAAGGAGTGGCGAAGGTTCCAGCAGCTACACGACTCATGCGCCCAGCGCAGCAGCCGTGCCGTGTCGGCGCGCCGCATCCCCATCCCCGGCGTGCACCTCGTGCCCTGGCGCTGGCGCCTGCGCGGCTCCTCCGCGTGCGCGGCCAGCAGCAGCGCCAGCAGCGACAGCGTGGCGGGGCCGGTGGAAGGTGCGGAGGCGGGTGAGGGGCGCGAGGCGTTCGCCCCCCCGGAGGGGTACATCCGCGGCGTGGACGAGGCGGAGCGCGTGCGGCCCGGCAGCCGCCACGTGGTGTACGACCTCGACTCCGACGACGAGCGCTTCCTCTCCGCGCTCCCACGCACCCTCCGCCGCGCAGGGGGGGAGGGGCAGGCAAGAGGGGAGGGGCAGGCAGGGGTTGAGGGGCAGGCAGAGGGGAAGGGGCAGGCAGGGGCAGAGACGGCAGGTGAGAGGGGTGAGAGTGTCGCGTGTGATGGCAGAGGGAGTGATGGCGAAGTGGCAGGGAGTATGGTGGCGGTGAGCGAGGGGCAGGTGGAGAGGGTGATGGACCGCCTGGAAAAGGAGGCCTTTGCTGCGCGCTCGCTGCTCTCCGAGGCACACGCCCTGCGCTGGTGCGCGCACCTGGCGCCGCCAGACGCTGTGCGCACCGTCTTCCACCACTGGCTCGCCAAGCGCCACCGCAAGGGCACCGCGCTCTGCCGCCACTTCCAGGTCAGCGCCCCGCCTCCCGCCGCCCACAGCCCGCCGCCCTGCAGCATGCAGTCCGCGCCCCTCATGTCTGCCCGCGCCCCTCATGTCTGCCCGCGCGTTGCCTCATGCACGCTCGTTTCTCTTGCATGCACTTGTCCCTTGCTGCCTATCTCGCTAGTTGGCCAGGAACCACGAGCTTGCCTTCTCATTGCACCTGTTCCTCTCCCTCCCTTTCCGCCCCCCCTCCCCCTCCCCCCTGGCATGCGACGCCCCGCCGCTGCAGCGCGCGCCGTGGGAGGTGTATCAGGCGCAGGTGAGCGAGTGGCAGCGGCAGCTGCAGCTGCTGCACGCCCGCGAGGCCACGCCTCTCGCTCCGTCTCCCGTGCCGTGGCCCCCGGGGCAGCCAGGAGGAGGTGCGGAGGCAGCAGCGGAGCAGAGGGTGGGCGAGGGAGCGGGGATGGGTGGCGTGGCGAGCCAGGGAGAGAGTGGTGCCGGGCTGCAGAGGGCACCACACGACCACTCGCAGCAACAGCAAACGGAGGGAGGGGAGCAGCAGCAGGAGGGCGGAGCGGGGCGTGCGGTAGCAGTGCAGCAGGGGCAGGTGTCAGCTGGTGCAGCATCCAGGAACGAGCAGCGTGATCCTCACGGACAGCACCCAACCAGCACGGCAGCACCAGGTGCCGCAGCAGCAGGTTTATCCACTCCTGCGCGCCTTCCCAGAAGCTCGGCCGCCTCCTCCTCTCCTTTCCCCTCACCCATTCCCTTCGGCACCCCCATCACCCTCATCACCCCCGGCCCTGGCAGTGCAGCGCAGCAGCGTGTGCCCGCCATCCCCCGCCCGCCACTCTTTGCCTTCTGCCTGCAGCCGCGCGCTCACGCGCGCAGGGCCGCCTTCCCCTCGCGCCCGCGCTCCACCAAGCGCGCGCCGGCCCCCGCGGAGCACGTGGCGGGCGCATGGGGCGGCGCTGCTGCGGACAGTGCGGAAGGCAGCCCCCGGGTGGGGGGCGTGGCGGCCCGCGCAGAGGCGCTCCCCGTGGGCGAGGGGCAACAGGGGGGGCGCCGAGAGGGCGCGGAGGGGCTGGTGGCGGCAAAAAGGCAGCGCCGCGTGGTGTGCCTCGCAGGTGAGCCCAACCCTCCCCCTCGCCGTATCCCCACTCCCTGCTCCACCTCAACTCCCCGCACCTTCCCCCCTGCCATGCGCTTGGTCGCCCGCCTGTGCCCCCCACTGCAGACTTGGGAGGCGAGGAGGCGGAGGGCAGCAGCAGGGGCGGCTCAGCAGGTGGCTCAGCAGGCGGGGCAGCAGGCGGAGCAGCAGAGTATTTCCCTGGCGCAGGCCACGAGGGGGTGAGTGCGCCGCATGGGGACTTATCTCGCGCGCACCCCTCGTCTGCGCGCCCCTCGCCCACAGCGTGGCCTCGCCTCACCACCACCTCGCGGTGGTCGCCCCTCCCCTTCGCCTTTCGCCTGAGCCCCCGTCTTAGCACCCCGGAGCCCGCACACTTGGATGCCTCTCTGCAAGCGCTGCCGCTGGCGCAGCAGCAGGTGTACGGTGGGGGCGAGGGGGGGATGAGGCAGTTGTTGAGGCAGCAGCAGGCGAGGCACGCGAGGGGGCGGGCAGCGTGGGGCGTGCAGCTGACGGGCAGCGCGGGGGTGAGCGGGGCAGGCGGGGACGAAGCAGCAGCGCCCACGCCACCACACGGCACTGCTGGGGGGCCCCTTGCGCTGCCTGCTGCCTCCGCGCCGCACCAGCTGCCCGGCGCTCCCGTGGTGGCTGCACGGCTGTGTGGCGCCCCCACTGCTGCACGCACCGAGAGCGGCGCCCCTACACACGCGGCTTTGGTGGGAGCAGGGGCAGGGCAGCAGTGGGAGCATGGGAGGGGTGGCAGCAGAGGGGGCGAGGGCGAGGCGGAGCAGGTGAGTGGAGTGGCGGGCGTGCGGTCAGAGCTGCTGTCGCTGGCGCACGCGCGCATGGGCAATAGCGGTGGCGCACGCAGTGGAATCGCGCAGGCAGCAGCAACTGCTGCTGTGGCGGCGCCAGGGGAGGGCAGGGGTGCAACGCCGAGGGGTGCGAGCGTGGGGCAGTGGCCGCCGTGCAGGGCGGAGGGTAGACCGTTGCCGTTTGGGGTGAGAGGTAGAGCGCAGGCGAGGGCAGGCGCAGCAGGGAGGGGAAGGAGCAGGGCGTGGGCAATGTTGGTGCTGCAGCAGACACATCAGCACGTGGGGTGGGCAGGGCAGGCGGAGGGGCTGGCAGGCGGGGCAGGGCGCACACAAGCGCGTGGAGACAGGTCGGTGAGTGACACAGAGGTGCAGGCAGCAGGTCTCGAGGCACACGCTCACGCAGGCAGCAGCACGGGGGGAAGGCGGGTGGTGGGTCACAGGCTGCCTCGGGCGAGCAGACTAGCGGCGCCTGGCGTGCGTGGCAGTGGTGGCACCGTGGCAGCAGTTGGTGGGGGCGAGGCACACACCACCGTGGCCGAGGGTGCAGTGAGCGCACAGGTGCTGGAGTGTGCTGGGCAGGGTGCTGAAGTTGAAGAGTGGCGCGGGGAGGTAGGGAGAGAGGCGGGAGCAGACAGGGGTGGTGCTGCCGTGATGAGCGGAGAGGCGGAGGATGGGGCAGGTGGAGGGGCGGGCAAGGGCCCGGTGGTGTACCACTGCAAGCGACAGCGGTCGTGGCGAGCAGCAGGCAGTGGGGGGAAGGCGGGCAGCACTGCTGCCTGGCGCCCTGGCAGGCCCAGCATGGCCGGCCTGTCCCCTGCCCGCCTGCTCCTGCCCGTGCCCCTCACCCCCGCTCCTTCCCTCCCTGCCTCGCCGCTCCTCCTGCCTCCCCACGTGCCATGGCCTCGTCCCCCTCGCCCTCCTACCGTGCGTCCGTCTGCAGCACGGGACCCAGCATGTGCAGCTGTCGGCAGCGAGGGGCTGGGGCGAGAGGTGGAAGGGCGAGAGGTGGAAGGGCAAGGGGTGCAGGGGCGAGGGGAGGAGGGGCGATGGGTGGAGGCGGAGGTGGTGACAGCTAGGGTGAGGGCGGGGAGTGCAAGGGCGAGGGCAGGTGCAGCGAGGGCGAGGGCGAGCGAGGTGCAGCAGGTGGCTGATGCGGCGCTGGAGCGCGCCTGCCACTGCCTGGCTCTCCTCCGTGCCGCTCAAGCCATGCCCAACCCTATGCCCTCTCCCATGCCTTCTCCCATGCCCCCTGCCATGCCCCCTGCCATGCCCCCTGCCGTGCCCCCTGCCATGCCCCCTGCCGTGCCCCCTGCCATGCCCCCTGCCGTGCCCCCTGTTCCTCCCCACCACCTAGTTGATGCCGCTCGTCCACCACCCGCCCTGCCAGCCGTCACTGCAGTCCATGCATGTGTTCGACCACACCTATCACCTCCTCCTGCTCCTGCTTCTGGTCCTGCTGCTACTTCTGCTGCTGCTTCTGCTGCTGCTCCTGCCCCTGCTCCTGCTGCTGCTCGTGCTCCTGCTGCTGCCGCCGCTGCAACTGCTTCTGATGCTGCTGTTGCTGCTGCTCCTGATGCTGATGCCGTTCGAGCTGCCTCTCCAGCTGCTTTTCCTGCTGCTGCTGCTCCTCCACCTGCTGACAGTGCAGCTCTGGGTGAATGCCTGGACGTCCATCACTGCCGTGGGGAGGGTAAAGTGGGTGGGGAGGGTGAAGAGGTTGGGGAGGATGGCGAGGGTGGTGAAAGGGGCGATGGGGCAGGTGCTGGGGATGGTGGAGAGGGGAGTGCAGGGTTGGTGGATGGTGGGCGGCAGCATGGCAGCGAGAGTGATGCAGTGGGGCCATGTGGGAGCGGGCTGGGTTGTGCTGGGGCAGGGTGTGCAGGGGGGCATGCAGCGGTGTGTGTGAGTGGCGATGGGTGCAATGAGTCACGTGGGTCTGCCTTCCTGCTGCCTCCTCCATTTGCCGCTCATCCTGCTCCTCCTGCCTTGCCTGCCAGCCCGCCTCCCATGCTGCTACCTGTGCCGCCAACCCCCCCCCATCCACAGCAGGCAAACCCCCCTCTCCCTCCTCCCACATCTCCTCCTCAGTCCTCCCCCTCACCACAGCAGCAGCAGCAGCAGCAGCAGCAGCGGGCGGGCAGCAGCCCGGTGGCGCTGAGGCCGTCGTTCCCGTCGCCCTCGTCGGTGGCCAAGCGAGCAGCCGTCACGTACCGCCGCGCTCACGTCACTCTGCGCCGCGCTGATGTCACGCTGGGCGAGGAGGGGTGCGGCTTCAGCCTGCTGCCCTCGCCGCACTTCCCCCTGCGCGCTGCCTCCGTCACACACAAGCCTGCTGACATCACTCTCCCGCATGATGAGGTCACCATCTCAGAGCCCCTCTGTGGCAGCGATGACAGCCCTCGCCCAGCGCCCCTCGTGCCCTCCACCTGCTCGCTCGACTCCCTCCAACCCCCCCGCATTACACTCGCCCCCATCCCTGCTCTACCGCTCTCTGATGAGGGCGAGGGCGAGGGTGGGCAGGAGTGTGGGGATGTGTGGAGCATGGGGGAAGGGGCAAAAGAGAGTGAAGGGTGCAGCAATGAAGGAATGGGCTTGGCGCTGCCTGCAGCAGTTGCGGTGGACGGGGTGGTGGAGGGGAGTGGCAGCATGGGTGCACACGAGCACATTGCTGGTGCCAGCAGCTGCCAGGAGAACACTGATGCACCAAGCATGCAAGTGGATGGGGTGCAGTGGGGCAGTTCATGTGGAGGAGAGGCGGGGCAGGCAGCACATGAATCAGGTGGAGATGAAACTAGTGGGGAGGGGCAAGGCAGGCAAACACGCAGGGAGGAGGGATGTGTGATTCAGCTGGGTGTGCGCAGGATAGTCAAGGGGGTTGAGGGGAGAGGCGGCGGGTTGGAGGGGTGTGCGAGTGCGAGTGTGTTGGATGGGCATGTGGAGGGAGGTGCACACACGCGCAGGCAGCAGGTGGGGGAGGATAGGGCAGCTGCCACGGATCACGCTGGGGAGGGGGATAGAAATGCTGCACACGGGTGCGGAGGAGGGGAGGGCGGTGTAGAGGGGGTAGTGAGCTGTGTGGTTGAGTGTGCAGCAGTGGGGCTGGTGGGGAGAGGAGGTGCCCATGAGGTGTTTGAGGCAGTCCAGGGGGGGCAGTGTGTGCTGCAGGGTGGCCCTGTGTGGTGCGAGCATGGCGGCGATGGGAGGGCGTGCAGGGGCGAGTGTGAGCACGTGGGCCACGCAGGCTTGTCAGGCGTTGGAGGCGAGGCCGCTTGTGGAGGTGGTTCAGGGTCGGCACGTGAGAGGGAGGCTGCCCGTGTGGGGCAGGCTGAGGGTGGTGAGAGGGGCGGGACACCTTTGACGGGGCCACTGCCACCGCTGCCTGTCCCCGAAGCCCCCCCATGTGAGCGGTGGGTGGGCTGTGCAGTAAAGGGGTGGAAGTAAGCGGCCACAGTGGTGGTACAGGGGCAGGCCCATTCAGGCGAGGGTGGCACGCCGGGGGAGATGTGTGGCACGGAAGAGGGTGAGAGGCACAGCAGAGTGAGAAGTTGAGATGCCAGTCTGGTGCGACTGCAGCTGAGCACTTGGATGAGAGCAGCTGAGCCTGTGTGGTTAGAGGATGGATTGGTCAGAAAGTCGAGCAGGCTCAGATTTTGTGGGGCTGATTTTGTGTATGTTTTTGAGGGGTGTGCTACGGTATCAGTGTGAGTCACTCCCTTTTCTCTTACGGCATTTTAACGGTGGTTTTTAGGGGTCACCCTGTCGGCCCAGGATTTTTGTTTAAAGTGGCTGGCTGGGATTTGTTAAAGTAACTGAGTGAGCTTAGGAGGCATAGCTAGGAGAAAGCTGAGGTAGGCTTGAGAGTGGCGAGAGCATGGGAAGCGAGATTGGGAGAATGAGGTGTTTCACTATAGGAAAACGAAAACATATAGGAGAAGGGGGAAAGGTGCACCCACCAAAACAAGAAGTATATAAGTACAGTAAGATCTACTGTAGGCAGCAGGCCCTCAGATTCGTTTTTGAGCTGTCTGATTTCTCAGTCAAGGTACACGGTTTTAGTCTGATCAAACAGACTTGGTACAAAAAAAAAAACTGAAATTTCAGAGTACATAAAAAAAAAAACTCTGGACGTATTGGAGCTGCAGGCTCTGGAGGTGCTAACCCTGGAGGTGCTTGTCCAGGTGTTACTGCTACTGGAGGCACAGGTGCTGCTGGAGGTATTGGAGGTTCAGGTTCTGGAGGTGCTAGCCCTGGAGGTGCTGGTGCTGGTGTTCCTGGTACTGGAGGTACAGGCGGTACTGGAGGTGCTGGAGGTACTAGAGGTGCTGACACTGGAGGTACTACTGGAGGTGCTGTTGGAGGTACTGGAGTTCGTGGTGCTGGGCGGCTGGAGGCTCTCTCACCGGAGCGGCTGCGCGAGTGGGCTGTCCAGTGGGGCAGCCCTGGTGGTGGAGCCAGCCGTCTTGGTTCTGGGGGTGCTGTTGCTACTGGAGCTGGAGGCACTGGTTCTGGGGGTGCTGTTGCTACTGGAGCTGGAGGCACTGGTTCTGGGGGTGCTGTTGCCACTGGAGAGGGAGGGCCTCGGGGTGCGACTACTCAGCCGCAGCTGTCTGCGCTTGGTCGCCTTCTCAGTCTCCCACCTGCTACTACTAAGGGAGGTGTAGTTGCGGAGGGTGAGGGTACTGGGGCTGCTTGAGCTGGTGGTGTCGGCTCTGGGGGTGCAGGGGGTGTGGGCGTGGAGGTCACTCCCGTGGAGGACACGGCAGCCTCGACTCGGCGGCCTCGCCCCGCGTCACCCCCTGGCTTCCCGTCCGTCCCGCAGTTCCCTCCTCGTTCTTCTCTGCGGCCGGTTGCTGCGGAGCCTGGGGGTGTTCATGCGGGAGGTACTGGAGACACTGCGGGTGACGTTGGTGGAGGTTCTGGTTCTGGTGGTGCTGGAGCGGGAGACACGGGAACTGCGACGCCTACACCACGCACTGTATGTTTCCTGACCCGTGTGCAGCGTCTAGACCGGTTGGAGAGGGAGGAGCGGGAGCGGTTTGAGAGGGCACGACAGCAGCAGCAGCTGCAGCAGTCACATTCTCAGTCGCAGCGTCTGGAGAGGGTAGAGGAGGAGCCATAGCCATAGAAGGAGAGAGTAGAGGAGGAGTCACGACTACAGCAGCATGTGCAGTTGAGGCCACAGCAGAAGAGAGTAGAGGAGGAGTCACGGCCGCAGCCAGAGAGGGTCGAGCAGGAGTCCTGTCCGTAGCAGCAGGTGCAGTTGCAGCCACAGTAGGAGAGAGTAGCGGAGGAGTCACAGGCGCAGCAGGAGAGGGTAGAGCAAGAGTTCCGGTTTCAGCAGCAGGGGCAGCTGCAGCTGCAGCAGGAGAGGGCAGAGGAGGATCCACAGGAGCAGCAGCAAGGGCAGGTGACGTCACAGCAGACGCCAGAGAAGCGGCGGCTGCGCGACCTGCCCGACCCAGCACCTGCACGCTTTGTTCGTGGTCCCCTACCGTCCCATCCTGTTCCCCCTGTCGAGTCCCTTTCCTCATCCCCGTGGACTCGTCGTACTCTTGTTAGTCGTGCTATTTCTCCAGAGCCTCGTCGGTCTCGTTACTGTGCAGATGGGCCGTTTCACCTTGTTCTCCGCTCTCGTGTTCCTCCTCCGCCGGTCCTACCACAGCCTCCTGGGTCATCCCTCGCTGTGTTTCCCGACCCGTTGTCCGACTACGTCCGTGCCTCCCGTCTTGTCGTCTCCCGTGTTTTGTCTGCGTTGGTCACTCACCCGACAGCCCCCCCGCTGTCTGTCTCAGCTTTTGTTACCACTGTCGCTTCCTTTGCCTCTTCCCACCGCCTTGACTACACGGCTTACCTGGTGAGTGGCCCTGCTTGTTCTCCGTCCTCTGAAGGTGCTCCTGTCTTTCCCTTGGAGGTCATCGAGGACAGGCAGTTCGAGCTTGGTTTCCTAGCGGCCGCTGTTCCCCATCTCTGCGCCATGTTGCTTGCCCTGGAGGGGGATCCAGACGCCCTTGACATCCCGATCCCTCGCACTCACGCCGAGGCGGTCTCGGGACCCTGGGGTTTGTACTGGATAGCAGCTGAGGAGGCAGAGATGGCATCTTATAGGTCCACAGGCACCTACGTCAACGCCGTCCCACCTCCTGGAACGAACGTCGTTAGTGGCATGTGGCTCTACAAGGTGAAGCGGCCGCCTGGATCACCACCGGTATTCAAGGCGCGCTATGTGGCGAGAGGCTTCAGTCAGCGCGAGGGGGTAGACTTTTTCCAGACCTTCGCTCCCACCCCGAAAATGACCACTCTTCGGGTGTTGCTGCACATCGCAGCTCAGCGCGACTACGAGTTACACTCCTTGGACTTCTCCACAGCGTTCCTACAGGGGAGCCTGCACGAGAAGATCTGGCTGCATCGCCTGCCTAGCTTCACTGGCTCTTTCCCTGCTGGGACCCACTGGCAGCTGCGTCGACCGGTCTACGGTCTGCGTCATGCCCCCCGTGAGTGGCACGACACGGACGAGCCATTTGAGTCCAGTGGTCCGTATCCTGAGCTGGTGGGTTGTCTCATGTACCTGATGATCTGTACTCGCCCGGACCTCGCTTTCCCTCTCAGCGTCCTGGCGCGCTTTGTTGCGCCTGGGAGACACCGACCTTCCCACTGGTACGCTGCTAAAAGGGTTGCAAAGTATGCGGCGAGTACATCAGGCATGGGACTTGTCCTTGGAGGGAAGCAGCCAGTTACACTTACAGGTTTCTCGGACTCGTCGTGGGCCGACGACGCTGAGTCGCTGCGGTCTACACAGGGTTACTGCTTCAGCCTTGGGACCGGAGCTGTTTCGTGGAGGTCGACTCGGGCGTCATCCGTCTCCAGTTCCAGCTGTGAGGCAGAGGTGTACGCTGCGGCCATGGCCGCACAGGAGCTTCGCTGGTTGAATTTTCTCCTCACTGACCTTGGTGAGATACCTCGCTCTCCCCCAGTCTTGTTCGCTGACAACAGGGCTGTCCTGTTGTGCGAGGAGCCCCGACTGGTTGGGAAGGCGAAGCACATCCAGCTTCGTTACTTCCTTTTGCGCGAGTTGCAGCAGTGTGGTCAGGCACTCGTGGGACGTGTGGTCTCTGAAGCCCACACTGCAGATATCTTTACCAAGGCGTTGCCGCCTTGTGACCACCAGCGCTTCTGCACACAGCTAGGCGTAGTTCCTGCCCGGCCTCACTTGTTTACGTAGAGATGTTTGTCTTGCTTGTTTGTACTCTTGCATCTACTATATTTGCTATATCCTTGCATGTGGTATGGCCTTGTGGCCTCTTGCTTGTTCTCGGAATGTGTGGTGATCTTGAGATCCACCCTGAGATTTGTTTTGTGCTTGTGAACTGGTCTTATGACCGTTGCTTGTTCTTGCTGACTGGTCCTGTGACCCTTGCTCTCAGACTGCGTGGTGACTTCGTGATCCACCCTGAGATTTGTGTTTCCCTCCACAAAACTACCGTCACCTAGACTATGGGGGTGTGTCAAACTATATTTTATATAGTTTATATAGTTGTAGTCTAGGTGTTTCTGTTTTCCCTAGTTTAGGTTGATATTCCCTTGTACTTTCATCTTTCTAGTCATTCTCTTATCTTAACACCTTCAATGAGGAACCCTATTACTAGTACATATCATATAACTTAAACATCAATTAGAGAACTCTAAAAACATTTACACACGTGCGTACGCGAATTTGTGCACAGCTGACTCAGTTGATCCAAGATTTGCCGCATGTGCTGCATTAGGGCGTGTAAAGTGGGAACGACCAAACCCAAATGGTCGCCCATTTAGGCAGATCTCACGATTTCGAAGTTTTGAGGGTAACGCGAACAGATGGGCATTGTAAAATAGTCACTCTGGATTGACCAAAACTCTATGATACTTCACGTATAAGAACCACCCCTCGGCCTTTAGAAACTGCCAACACTTACCCGCATTTTCCTGTATATAGGACCCGCCGGTATAAAAGTCCCACGGGTCTTACATGTGGGGTTTGGAACGCTTAATAAAGACCAATCTGTGAAAACCCCACTTTTCATACACAACGTTTATAACATAAGAGCCCCCTTCCCCCCCCCCCTCCTCTCCCTCTACTAGAGTTCCCTTTTATGACATTATATGCCTTGCATGAAGTTAATTTAAACTACTGGAATGGTACATGGCCAGGACGTTCCCTAACAGTGACAATAGCGCATGATAATTCTATACACATGTGAACTCAGTTAGCCAAGTCTAATTACGGTAGGCTACCACGTTTCCTGGCTACCGTGCTAAGTTACAGACGTACTCATGCAGTTCTGGTAGTGCTTGAGGAAAAATCACTCATCCTTCCACTCCTCGTAGGCAGTGGGGTCGTCAGAGTCAGGGTTGGGCTCATCAGAGCCGAAGTCTGTCGCGGCGCCCTCAGCAGCAGCATCAACTTCATCGAGATCGTGCTGCTCATGGGATACAAAGAGTGGGTTTACCCACTCCTCCGATTCTGCAGCCGTATTCAATCTTCCGCCACCTCAACCTCCGCCGCATCACGCATGTGGGCAAGGATGAGATGGTCCTCGCAACCGTCGGGGCTGTTTGTGATGCCGCACGTCTTGACGGACCGCACAATGAGGTCCTCCAGCACCGCCACCCACGACTCCGCGATCCACTTGAAGACAAGCTCGGCCAAAGGCTTGCGCAAATTTCCTGGGGGAACGGGTGTGGTAGAAATATAGAGTGGATAGTTACAGTAGTCAAGTTCATCACACTGAAGCCAACGAATGCATATTCAGGAATGGAAAGCGCGGCGCACTGTACCTTTTGGCGTGAGGGAGTTGATTCCCTTCGTCGCGAACCATTCGTTGTACCGTTCGCGCATGCCAGCCTTGAAGCACATGTTCACGCTCACGTCAAGCAGCTGTAGCAACGTTGTGCATCCGCCGGGGATGATGGCCGGCGTCACGCGGTTCCAGCGCAGTAATCCGAACACATTGTCGGTAAGATGACTCCGGTAGGAGTCAAGCACCAACAGCGACTGGCTCCGGTTGATACATGCGGGGGGGGGCGCACAAAAGGGAGGAGAACGTGCTGCACCCAGTCCTGCACAAGGGTGGCGTCCATCCACCCACGGGGTTTGCACGGACCAGGATGCGTGCACATTGGTTCAAGGACGAGACGTTAGTCACATAGTCACAAGTAGCTCGCCCGGTAACAGATAGGAAACTTAACCTCGGGATATCGAATGTGAGGTAGTACTTCCGTTTGAAGATCACCATCGGGTTCAGTTTCCTGCCCATGCCTGACACACCAAGCATCACGGTGAGTCTTTCTTTCTCGCACCCCGTCGTGCGTACGTGGACAGTGTGCTCGCTGCGGTAATGCAGTGTCCTCTTCTGTGGCATCTCAAGGAATACAAGCGTTTGATCCGCGCTCACAATATTCGAGGGATCAATCCCGTGTTTTGTGACTTGCCTCCGGACAAACGCCCAAAAGCTCTGACATTTGGGCTTGCAGTTCGCACAAATAACACGAGATAGTTTAGAAGGGTGTATTGGACGTTAGAGTACAGTAAAGTAACAGCATGGGTACGGTAGCTTACCTTTTGCAAGTCGCTGGCCGACTTTGGTTTTCACTCGCATGGCGAGGCCACCGAGCACGGAATTGCATGCACCACCGAACTGAAGCTCGCCACTCCACGTCGGGATGGTGCCACTTCATGTACGTGCCTCTCCAGGTCTACACGAGGTGGGTGGGAACGGCTAGGCCGCGAGATCGGAATGAAATGAAGTTTCGGTACACGCTAAGTTCCATAGCATGGAACTTGGCAAAACGGCCGCCGCCAACCAGGCGCTTGCGACAGCCTGCCGCCTTCTTCATGTGCTCCTCGCTCCTGATCCAGCAGCGGATGCTTATCGGCTGAACACCGACGAGGCGAGCAGATGCACGAAGAGTCAGCTGCTCGCTCTTCATCCGCTCCGGGAAGACGAGCTTCTCCGCCACAGTCCTCGCCGTGCGTCAATGCTTTGTGTGTCGGTTGCGGGGTGACGGTGTCCGCATCTTGATTGGCTGTGGGGCGTTCCTTGTCGTGAACAAGGTCATCAGGGAAACGTGGGAGAGGATACACAGGAGGACTGTTGGACGCCGCTGGTGTAAGCGGACGTTCACCCTCGAGGTCTTCCACGTCCACCTGCTAAAAAAACGCATCCAAAGGTGCAATGATGACTAGGGGCGCTGGAGGCGCCGGTGGAGCTGGAGGAGCCGACGGTGCTGGTGGCGCTGGTGGTGCGGGCGGAACTGGCGGTGTTATTATTCGGATCGGGATCGAGCGAACAGCGGGATTCGGAAGCGATCCCATCGACCTACTGCCACCACCTCGTGACTGCATCAGAATGTTAAAGGCCGACGTGGCGGCCAGAGTTATCGTGTAAGTTGGAGGCCATCGCTGCTGGTGCTGACGTATGAACGAGAAAACTGAATCGAGAAATGAGAGTCACACCAGCTCACTACCCCCAGTCATCGTGGGGAGAAGAGGGACGTGGAGACAAAGGTCCCATGACCCTACACCCAGAAAGTCTTCTCGAGCTGCAGGTGGGAAGAGGGTCCTCACAGCGGGAGGTGAATGCATCGTGCTGGCAACAGATAAGGCAGCACGCCTCGTGAAGCACGTGAAACGTGCTTTCGCTAACATAGCGCTTGCCCGCTTTCTCAGCGTAAGAACACAGTTCTTCCGAATAAACCCCACCCCCCCCTCCCCCCCCCCCCCCCCCCCCACCCCCCCCCCCCCCCCCCCAAAAGAGTGACACCTCTATTCAGGCCGAGGGAAGTAATGAGGAAGGTAAAATCTCACTCAACAACGTGCTTAGTTATTAATAACGGTATTTGCGCTCATAGCAGTGTACATGGCTCCCAAGTGACAAAGAACATGTCTACAACTATCGCCGGCGTGATACAGCTTGCTTGTACTGGCTACTTCTATGCTGTTGGAAACATCACAGCTGCTGAGGCTTCATCAAGTAGACCTTCCGTAACCAGATGCCTAACAACAGTCAGCTGTTTTTTCCGGGTCCTTGTGAGTGCAGTAATCCCAACCTGTAACTGTCTCCCCCCTTGTACATGCGCCTCTGGAAGTGGTCCAGTCCTCCAAAGAATGGTGAGGCCATCGCAAAGGGTGACTAACCCCAGAGCTGCTGCAATCTTGTCCAGCCTTCTAATTGTGGTGGATGTATCCTTTGGCGCACTGCTTTCTCGCAAATCTTCAATGGCATCCGTAGCCCGTTTCATCCTCCTCATCGCTTGAACAGCCGCATCCTGTCCCCGTGAGTACCTCTTAGTGAAATACCTGCCTGCATACTTGTCGCAGAGCGTTCTCCCATCAACACCAAAAGGCCTGTTCCATAATCCCCATGCAATCTTTATGGTAGGCGATGAATACCAGGGCACCACCACCTGCTCTCTGAACCCTGACAAGTCGTCTCTGTTGTTGGCAACCAAAGCAGCTGTTGAATTACCCTCCAGTTCAAGGATGCCTGGATGACCACTGGCAGTCCTCAGCATGTCCTCAAGCTTGGCGAAACGTCTCTCGTTTTCTTTGTCCGCTAGCTCCACCCTCCTAATAACGCCCTCCAACCTCTTGTCAAAATTCGCCGAACGTATGATAGCATCTGTTGAATTACGCGACCCAACGGCCGGAAGGCTTCTGCCGTCCTCCAATCTCATTGCTTCATTTGTGATCTGCAGTCCAGCATTAGAGCAGTCGCTGGATGCATGCTTCTGCATGCAGAAGAACATGCATGTGCGCACATGTACTTTAACAGATGCACAAATGCATATGTCGTTCCACCGAGCATATTTTTATGATCGCGTCCAAATGCATGCATGTGCATAGGAGCACATGCACGAGCATGCAAGTGCACGTGCATGTGAATGTGGAGTGCAGCATGTATGTCCGTTAGTCCATGCATGCAGTCATGTCTATATTGTAGCAGCATAAACCACTCACCGAGTTGACAGCAGGCGTGAATTCGCAGAGGAGGACGGCTAAGCGCTGAAGATTAACCTCAGCTTCACTCCTCATACTTGATTCTATCAGGTCCTGCTTCCATATGAACAGGCATACTCCCAACCACACGAATGGCAAGCATTACAATAGCTTCAGTTACAAGTACGATAACAAAACAAAAGGAAGGAAATAAAAGAAGTCACGAGGTGAACGATTGCTGTAAGTAGGAGTAACACGCAAAGGTTGAAACCCCCCTTATCAAACACGAAAGTTACATTGCAAGCAACGAGCTCATTCGCCAATCTATTCGCTACTGCCAGAGCCATTGGAGCCGGAAGACCGATAGCCACAGCCATGGCCACAAGGAACGGCGGGGCAGACGAGGAGACGCCTGTGGAATGGTGCGAGCTGCATTGCACAAAATAAAAGAGAAAGAAGGCGACAGAGCTGATTGCTGCTGCCATGCAAGAAGACATTATGGGTCAATATCAGGGTCATCCCACTTGCTATCCCTCACCCCCTCTCCTCTCCTGCCAATTCCTCCCACCTTCTATTTCTATCCTCTTATCCTCACATCCTCCTTCTCACCGTAACTCCATCCCTATCCTCTCCTCACCTTCTCACTCACCTCAAGCATTCATCCACGCTATGATGTGGCTGATGCAAAATGGCCCACAATATTGGCGGCGGAGTTTCGGGGTAATGGGCAGGCGGAGATTCTGGGTGTCGAGTAGTACCAGGTCGTTGGGCTGATAAGTGACGGGCGACGGTGGCGATCGGCGTTGCGTTTAGCAATGACGTTTGATTTTTAATGGCCTCTGCTGCTCGGGTCCGGGTTGCCTGTAAAATCCCGGCGAACTGCTGCGTACGTGGGACTGGGTTGTCGGGGTTTGGCGTCTTGGGCACGGTGAGGTTTTGTCCGTAGTTGAGGTAGAAGGGGGAATGCTGCGTCGTGGCTGACGTGGAATTGTTGTATGCGAACTCGATGGGTGGCAACTGCTGCTCCCAAGTTGCCGGGTCGTCGCACGTGGCTCCATGGCCTGATTGGTCCGTTCAGTTTGGCCGTCGGTTTCGCGGTGGTACGATGAACTGAATTGCAGTGCGTGCCGAACTGCTACCACAGGTTCCGCCAGAAGTTGTTGGTGAATTTCGTGTCGCGGTCGCTGCTGGTCGCCGCGGGTATCCCGTGAAGTCGAACGACGGTGGAGATGAAAATTCGTGTTGTTTCTTCGGTTGAGATGACTTCTTGCATGCTGCGAAATGGGCCATTTTTGTCTGTCGATCGATGACGACCAGGATCGCGTCGTTCCCACTTGCCCCAGAGGGTAACCCCGTGACGAAGTCCATCGTCACCTGCTGCCAATCACGCTCTGGGGGTGGTATCGGCTGCAACTGCCCTGCCGGTCGTTGCCGTGACGACTTCATGCGTTGGCAGGTGGGACACGATGCCACATGTCATTGCACGTCGGTGAACATTTCGGGCTAGTAATAGTACCGCTGCAGCTGCTGTCGTGTCTTTTTGACCCTAAAGCGTCCTGATGTAACTCCGTCATGTGCCTCCTGTAGTAGTAACTCCCGCAGTAGTGTGTAGCCCGGTACCTAGATGCGGTCGGTTCTGGCTTTTACGTAATAAATCCCTTTTGCTCCTGCGAATTTCCTCCGGTGAAGAATGGGTCTGTCTGGTAGCCATAGGTAAATAGTCCTGTGAGCAGTGGGCTGGTCTGGGCGAGTAGTATTGCGTGTATTTGGGCAGTCGGGCGGGTCAGTGCGTCGGCGATATTTGAAGCACCCTTTTTGTAGGTGACCGTGTAGTTGAAATTCGACTCGAGGAAGTCGGGCCAGCAGATCTGTTGTGGGTTGAGGTGGGGTTGTGCGCGAAGGTACTGTAGTGATCTATGTGAGAAGATTTGAACAAGAATGGATGAACTATGAAATGAAGTGAGTACAAATATGAAACCCTAATTGGTTGTACCCCCTATGGGATACCCCACTATAGCCTACACAACAGCATAAGCTATAATGTTCTGACACACCCCCATAGGCAAAGTGGGGGAGAACAAGGGGTCACAAGACCAGTCAAGCAAAGTAAAGCAAAGCAAGCTCAGGGTGGATCACAAAGTCACCACACAGTCCGAGCACAGGGTCAAGGCCACACGGCCAGTTCACATGCAATAGTACACACATATATATAAAGCTAGACAAGCAAGAGCAGGTATATATATATGTGAGAGTACAGGCAAGATCAAGAGGAGAGCAAGTGAGGCAAGACGGGCACAAGACCCAGCTGAGTGCAGAAGCGCTGATGATCACAAGGCGGAAGTGCCTTGGTGAAGACATCAGCAGTGTTGGCCTCAGAGGCCACGTACGCAAGCCGCAACTGACCACGTTGCTGTAGCTCACGAGCAAGGAAGTAGCGGAGAGCAATGTGCTTTGTTCTGTGCTCCAGTCGCTGCTCTCGACACAAGGCCAGCATGGCCTTGTTGTCTACGTACAGGACTGGAGGAGAACGAGGCGGCTCTCCAAGGTCGGTCAGCAGGTAGGTGAGCCAGCGAAGCTCCTGTACAGCCATGGCCCCGGCGTAGATCTCAGCCTCACAACTCGAGCCAAGAACAGAAGACGAGCGAGTAGCCCGCCACGAAACAGAGCCGGAACCAAGGCTGAAGGTGTAACCCTGTGACGACCGCTGCGTAGCCTGGTCGTCGGCCCAAGAAGCGTCCGCGTGCCCAGTGAGGACCACTGGACTCCGCCCTCCAAGCACTAGCCCCATGCCCGACGTACTGCACAAGTAGCGCAACACCCTCTTCGCTGCAGCCATGTGCTCTGGTCTGTGTCTCCCAGGAGCAACATAGCGTGCCAGAATGCTAAGAGGGTATGCAAGGTCAGGTCGCGTGCAGGTCATCAGGTACATGAGGCAGCCAACAAGCTCTGGGTACGGGCCACTCGACTCTACGGACTCATCCGAAGGCAGAGCTGAGAGCGAGTGGCTAGTAGACAGAGGAGTGGCCTGAGGCGAGGAGTACGTGAAGCCGAAGCGCTGAAGGACCTGCTGCACCATGTGTGACTGAGTCAGGGTAATGGTGCGGCGTGCTCTGTCCCGGGTGATCTGCAAGCCAAGGTAGTTGCGCAGTTCACCCAGGTCTGTGCACGTGTGTCTCTTCTGCAGCTCGGACTTCACGTAGGCGAGTCCAGCAGTGTCAGCTGTGGCAAAGACCAAGTCGTCGACGTACACGAGGATGTAGAACGGCGGCAGAGAGGTGTCGGTGCGTAGAAACAGCGACGGGTCGGCAGTAGAAGGAGCAAACCCAAGAGCCGCAAGTGTAGTCCTCAGTGTGTCGTGCCACTCACGTGGCGCCTGGCGGAGACCGTAGACTGGACGCCGGAGACTCCACTGGGTACCAGAAGGGAAAGACCCAGTGAAGCCAGGTGGGCGACGCAGCCAGATCTCCTCGTGCAGGCTGCCCTGCAAGAAAGCTGTGCTGAAGTCAAGAGAGTGCAGCTCGTAGTCACGGTGAGCAGCAACGTGCAGCAGTACCCGAAGAGTGGTCATCTTCGGGGTGGGGGAGAAGGTCTGAAAGTAGTCAACTCCCTGCCGCTGACTGAAGCCACGAGCCACGTAACGCGCCTTGAAGACAGGCGGAGAACCCGGCGGCCGCTTCACCCTGAAGATCCACATGCCACTGACGATGTTCGCCCCAGGAGGGGGGACAGCGTCAACGTAGGTGCCTGTGGACTTCCAGGAAGCCATCTCTGCATCCATAGCTGCCTGCCACTGAGAGGAGTAGGGACCCTCTATCGCCTCCGCGTAAGAGCGCGGAGTCGGGATGTCAA